AGGGGGAGGAGGAGGAGGAGGAAAGGGGAGGAGGAGGAGAAGGGTGGGAGGAGGGGAGGAGGAGGACTTTTTGATGATGATCCTTTTGATGATGACTATGATGATTTGCAGGCTCTTTTCTTGGTGGGGGGACGGGGGGGGAATGTCTATGGAGATTCTCAATTATCTAGGTCATAGTTGTCCCCCAGTTCAGAACTGAAGAAGCTTCCTCGGATAAGGAGCGAAACATTTTCAAAGAAAAACGAAACAAGAAAGTCCCGTTTTGGACAAAAACTCCCTGTGGAGTTATTCTTAGGGACTGTCACCTTGAACCGGAGAAAGAAATTGGCTTTGCACCAAAGCGGTTGAGAAGCTCAGCTGCTCTCTCCATCCGCTGGAGAAGGCCAAGAGCTGGTAAACGCCAACCTGCCACCTCTGCCCCTCCTCCTCCCCCCGTGCCCGCCCCTTCCTCCCCAGACCCCAGCAGCCCCTCCTGGCCTCCCCTCCAAGGGAAGGGATGGAGAGAGCAGCCGAGGCCTCTTCTGCTGGCTCCCTGAGCAGCCCCTGGTGAGGCAACAGCTTCATTTCCTCAGCTGCAACAAACGCCCGTCTTACAAAACTAGGACCGGAAAGGATCTCTGTCCCTTTTCTCCTTTTCTTTTTTTGCCCCACCTTGATAAGGAGCCTCACTTGCGACACCCGTTTTATGGCACGCTCCTTCTGGAGGGCCCTGGGCCAAGCGCTGAAGGGCTCTCGCCCTACTGAGAAGCGTTGTCTTCTACCTGAACTTGGGAGGGAGAAGAGATTGCCACTCACCTGCCACACCTGCGCAGAGGTTTCTCAATGCCCTGGTGGTTGACGGGAGGCTGGGTTTAGGTTGAGGGATGCACGAGATGGGTAGGTTTGATAGCCACACTCAGTCCTTCCCCAAATATTTAGCAGTTGAAGTCAACGCTATGCATGCCTGGATTAATATCTTCTCCACCCCACCCCACCCCAAGACAAAAGCACACTTTGACAATGCTGGCAGGAAGCAGAGGCGCCTTTCATTACGACTTGTAAAAGTTTGGAAACTGGCATGGAGTCAAACCACCAACTCACCTGTTCCAGTTTCCCTTTGCGGCTTTGGGAGAGTTTCTATTCTCCGTGGGCCCCACCTGGCCAGTCTCAGGGAGGGGCCTTGAGGGTTCAGGTGAAGGTTAGGTTCTCCCCAAGAGCCAATAACTAGGAGTGTTTGAAAAGTCCCAGATACCGAAGGTGAAGCTCAAATACTTTGGCCACCAAATGGAGAAGACTCCGTGGAGAAGACCTTGATGTTGGGGAAGATGGAAGGCGAGAGGAGGAGGAGATGGTTAGTGTCATGGACTCAGGGAAGATGAGTTTGGTCAAACTCCCCCGGGACAGTTGGGGAAGGGAGTTGGGGGCTGGTGTGCTGTGCTCCATGGGGTCCATGAAGAATCAAGTTTCAAGTTTATTAGGGACTCTGGGCGGCTCACAACAGACATTTAAAATTTAAAAAACAGAATAAGAAATAAAATACAGTATTAAAATTCACATCACCCATTCCATCTAGGCGGGGCTGGATATCAATCAACAGCCCCAGGCCTGCCGGAACAG